GGTAAAACCACCATTAATATTAAATTTTTTTTTCTTCCATTTTATTTATTAATTCATTTTTTTTTTTATTTTTTGTATTCCTACTGCCAGTACAATATATTTATTGTCAGCAAAATTGTAGTTTTATATGAAGAAAAAACAAATATTCATGTACTGAATCGAAAAAAGAAAGAAAAAAAACTAATTTCACTACTACCAATAAATTGAACAAAGATCATTTTTTTCATCATTCAAAAAAAAAAAATTGTCATAATAAAAGTTGTAAAACAAATATAATTTTTATGGTGCAGCAATTTTCTGGTTTATTTTTTTTTCCTCCCATATAATCGCTTTAATTACTATTCAACAGATTTTCCAACAATGATTTATACTTATAGTAAAGTCCAAGCCTTTCGACCCCATATTCCTGAAATATATACAGCAATTAAAAAAACTAAAAAAATTTTCCAGCTATTATTTAAGACTGGTTTACTCACTAAATTATTCACTCATTAACGAAAAAAAAAAACAAATTCATTTAAAATTTTTTTTCTTAGATTATTAACTTTATGAAAAAAGATATTCGGTATTTGATGTTTTAAAAAAAAAAAGTGCAAAAAAAATCAAAAAAAATTTGCCGAATATTTCAATAATATTTATCGTAGAGACAACTTTTTATCGCAAAATTAAGAAGAAAAAAAGAAAAATACCAAATATCAAGGCAATCAGTGGAATATAACTTACCACAAAACCAAACTTTACTGGTGATACCTCAATTTGCAACAAACTCCATATACCCCAAAAAAGATGCGAAACTGGTATAAACGGAGCTGTTTCCTACAACAGAAAAAAAAAAACCAGCCCTATTTGAATCAGTATTCGATTAGTCTACAGATCAATTGTTGATAATGTTTAATAAAGTAATCAAGAAATTGCAACAATGCATATCATTTTGATAAGTATTCTTCTTTTGGCAAAGATTCCAGTTTGATCTACGAGAACAATAGATTTTGTAGTTTAAAGTGTGTGTAGAACAGGTAACAAGTATTGATTAACCACAAAAATTCATCAACTAAGCAACGAAACAATAAAAAATTTAAAAAATTTTGTTTTGCCATCGATGTATACCCCACCTTTATCATTTGTTCAGCTTGAGTATCCAATTCTTCCACTAACGACAAGTCATCAAATTCACTGATGTAAGATTTGAAAAATTCTAATTGATGTGTTTCAGACGGAAAACGGCTCTCGTAAATTTGAAAATATGGTGACTGATTGACATCATAATCGATTGTACATTCCACAAAATGGTTAGCAAAATCAAATCCACTAAAATCACATAAAGTTAGTCGGTTGCACTGTAGATGTCGAAAGGTATTTTGGTAAAAATTAGCTAAAAAAACTTCACGTATTCAAATAATCGCTGCCCCATAAAATTACCGATTACTTTTAGGAAAATGAAAATTCTTCTTCTTTTTCGCACCAATAAATTGTTTACGCAAAGATTTGATTTGAGATAATTTATTAAACAACAATAATTTTAATTAAACAATTTTAAAATGTGTCGCACGGTGTTAATTGTTGCAAAAAATTTTTTTTCTAATTTATTTGTTTACTCTATGATTTCTTCTTAGGTTTTTGTTCTGATGTACATTAATTAATTACATAAATAAGAGTAGAACTGATTGACTATGGTGCTGCTTTTCATTAGCTAAAAAAATAAATGTAGTAAAACATTTTAGCAATAAATCTGTGTCATCAATTCTCATAATTCTGCATTAGTAAGCAATTTTTTTGACAATGTCAGTTCTGATTTCCAAAAATTTCTTACACAAGATGTTTTGCATCAGTGGATATTCAAATCTAATAAGTTGCACGTATTTTACCTTTTGAAAAACAGAAACATTATCCGAACAGTGCAGAATGACGTATTTTCTTTTTTACAACTTAAATAAAATAGTACATGACAGTGTATAGTACTCACCGATAATTATAACTGGCATATTCAAAATCTATCAGCACCAGATGAGGGGTCATTACATTGCTGGGTGAAAGCATCTGATGATCGCCTAATGTTTCTTCGGTTACAGACATCAACCGTACATTTCCAGAACCGGCCCTTGGTAACAGAATATTCCCTAAACAAGGTTTAAATAACTTCTTGTCCAAATACAGTTGATACAGTTTAAATATCATCTTCTTTTCATTGCCTTTATTTGCAATCTTAGTGTAGGCAAAAAGTAAAATTTTCGAAAAAAAATAAAGCCATGTATTTAAAAAAATGTAAACCTTCTTGCATATCGTTATGACAGAACACGACAGCACTTTTTGACTTCCTTAAACATCGTCTGAAAAAGGAAGAACTCAGGTGGTACAACAAAACTGATATAATTAAAATCCAAAATTTATTCGTATATCAAATAATCCGCAATCCATTTAACAACATCTTCATCAGAAACTTTACCACTACATAGATGCCTATTAGTGGAACTGAACGATAAAAATTATCTGTTAAGGGAAACCTCAAAAAATGAAGTTCATCAAGAAGACGTTTAAAATTTATAGAACATGGTGCACAATCAGCATATTTGGCTGGAAGATCATATGAACGTGCCTCGTCCGAGATTTCTATAAGTTGGTTAAGCCACCTGAACAACCAAACATTTATCTAAATTTGCATATCATTTGTCTTTTATGTTTTCTTGAGTGTTACCAAAGTATTTTAAATTTTTTCAGAAATATTCTTTATTTTTTGAAACTGCTTTATTTCTTTTTCACTTCCAATCAAAAAATTTTCTCACGCTGGTCTGAAAACTAATTTTATTTGTCCAATAACTGTTAGTCAAATATAAAAAAAAAAAAGACAAAATTGACCATATGAAGTGAAAATCAAAGTTTGAAAGTAACCTTTTGATGGCATCACAAAGATACACAGGTTCTTTCCATATTGGTACCTCAAGTTGATGTATTTGTGCGATTCGTTTGGCAATTTTTTTGTAAAATAATGGGAGTGATATTTCGTCGCATGACAGTGGCCTTGACTAAACACTAAATTATGGCTTTACTATTTCAGTCAGCAGTATTTCTTCATATTTTCAACTAGCTTTCCCATCAACTGAAAATTGGTTGTCCTTCAAAATTTTTTATTTCTTCTTTTCCGCTCTTCGTTATTCTTCACTTCCCGCCGCTCGCTTTTTTCATCCAACTTCTCTTCTTATTGGCGGGACTACTTAGTGACACTTTGGCTTAAATCAACTGAATAATCTAACCTAATTCTCATGATAATAACTTCAAAGCGTTTAATAAACGTTTTTGCATAATATATAAGTTCAATAAAGAGTTAGAAAAAGTCAAAAGAAAGAAAATGAAGAAAAAAAATTACTATGAGAAAAAAAGGTTGGCACTTATCTACTTAGCAGCAACTTGTCGATGACCAGATAAGCGAGTCAAAATGCCAATTTTGCAAATTGTTGTTATCCCATAGTTATGTAGAATCAATCAAAAAGAAAAAATTTTAAAAGAACTAACCATTTTTTTCTTGTTATTACTGTTTGGTATCAAAGAATAAATTTAGAAAAAAAAAAAGAAATATTTTGTTATGAGTGAAAGACATAAGTGAAAAGCAAAGATAATAGCTGCGAAATCTGAGCGGAAGGAAGTTCTCAGAAATGTTATAAAAAACATCTCAAAAACTTTAAAACCTTTGGATCGCAAATGTATTTCACTTTTTCACACTTCTGGTAAGGCTAAAAAGGTGAAGAAAATTAAAAAAACCATTATAAAAAACTTAATGTCTTTTTTGATGCATAATTGGTTAAAATTGGTTTATCGCCGATTAAAAGTGGATAAGAACACTTAGTCCTGATTCAGAAGCTTCTAAATTTGAAAATTTCTAGTTTTTTCCTTGCAATATTTTATTCTTCAGCTTTTCAAAGTACACATTACCACTGCCAGTGTTATATCACTCAAACAATGTCAACCGATTTAATCAATCCATTATTTGGTACGCGAGTTTTTCCCTTCCCCCCTCTTCCCCTCTCCAAATAAATAAGTAAAAAAATTAGCTAATCAACAAACTGATAAAGAAAAATATAGAAGAAAAACGTTTTGATTTCAAATAAATAAACGGCAAGAAAATGACTAACTGGGATATACTCTTCCAATCTTCCACCATTAAAAATACCATACAGTTTCGGTCCAAGACGTCTCTCAGATAACAGTGTAAAAATTACAGATTCAGCAACAAGATTTGCATCGCTGACTGGATTGAAATATATCCTCATCAGAACTTTTTTTGGTTCGCCATGTAACGGAGAATAACCATCCGGAAGCGAACACAGAAACAACATGTTACTCATACCACCTCTAAAATGCAACACTAACACTTTTTTTGCTGCTTTTTATTTTCATCTTTACCTTTTTGACTGCCAAATGTACCAGCATATGTGGTGCTTTATAGACGTCAAAAACGAAGAACGACCGACCTCATTCGTTGAAGTAAAAAGTCCTCTACACCAACTTTGCGCCATGCACCACCAAGAAATCGTGCACATAGCGTATGAGACCGTTTCTTGATTTCAAAGATCAGACCCGTGTCGATATTGGGATCGAATCGAGACAAGATTTCTTTTAAATCTCTACAAAAAAAAAAAAAAAAAAAAAAAAAAAAAAAAA